GCCGGCCACGAGACTTGTAAAGCCTTTGGACTTTTGGTAGATTCGGCGGGAAGTTCAGCCGCGTTCGAACAATAGTAAAATAATATTAGTAATGTCATCGAATATGACACATCATGCAAAATAATAACAATAATAAAGTGTATCGGCCATACCACGGGCGTCCGACCACGGCATAAGTATAAGTAATTGACTATTATCAATTACTTATTTCTATATTGTTATTTTTATTTTTTTTTTTTTTTACTTATATAGTTATATACCGTATCCTACGGCTGCGGTACGCCTCGGGCTACCACACATATATATATATATATAGGGTGTCCCGTGAGGATTTACTCATTGCGATATCTCCTGAAATAATGGAGATATCGTAATTATGTTTTTTTATTAAGACTCGCAGAGGTAAGCACTACAAATATTTTATTTTTTAATTAAATTAAATTTTTTAGTAAAAAAGTTAAAAAAGTTATTTTTTTATTTTTGAAAAAATTGAAGATAGCCATTCAGCATTCTATAGAGTATATTTTTGTGAACATTTTGAGCTTTTAACATTTTATTTTCATTAATCTCATGATTTTTAATAATTTTTTTAGTTTATTAGTAAAACGTCAATAAACTGGTTTTTGTCGGGCGGCGAGTCCCCCTCTACGGCTAATGAGTAAATCCTCACGGGACACCCTGTATATTACAATGATAGTAATAAAAAATAATAGAATAGAATATAGTCTGATATTTAAGTATTGTACATGCAATGAAAATAGTGAATACCGGCCAAGGTGTGACAATATCTTTTTGAGTTTTATATTTTTATTTTTTGTACTCACGTACTCCGGCCCATCTTGGCTATACCCGCCACGGGCGCACCGGAAATGATCTGCGGTAGTTTACTCCATATTGTTGGTGTTCAACAATATAGACAAAAAAATCACGCGGAGCTGATTCCGCGCGTGTGCGTGTTGGGAACGGTGACACGAAAAAGTGACGAGAAAAAAAACATTGGCCAATATTAACTAGTTTTAATTGCGAGGTTTCTTATGCAACCTTTGCTCTCGCGTCGGGTATTGTTCATCGGCGATGCGGCGGAGGGAGATTACCGATGTAGTGCGGCGGTGTTATCGTCATGACACTGATCTAGAGGAGGGAACATTATAACTTGGCCAGCACTGTATTGATGTATAATTTCGAACGTTACAGTATCATTTTAATTCATTATTATTATCGTAATTAATTACTTTACATTTTAGATTCTGAGTGAAACGATGAATGTATTGATTTTACAATGATATGTGTTTTTTTATTTTTATTTTTTTTTTGTGTCTGTCATCACGGTTTGGGGCAGTAAAACTGCTTCGATTTTCTTCAACAGTATCTTGTTCGATGGGAAAGTTAATCTATAGTTGGTGCATTCGCGGGAGGTCAAATTCCCAATAATTTTCACAAGCGCCGGGAAAAACAACATAAAAATTAAGAATAAAAACGGGAATTTTTAAGCAAAATCGGTTATTGACAAAATCGATTTTGGTTTTTGGTGTAACTTTAAAACAAATGAATGTACCTATATACATGACATTTTCACTAGTTGTTTATATTTGCATTTTCTATACACAATGAAATTTTCAAAATATTATGTTTGTTTTGAACTGTTTAAGAAAATTTTTTTTTTTAAAAATATCATTAAAATTGTATTTGTTTTTTAAAAAAGCTAAAAAATTTAATACAAAGCTCCTACACTATATTGTTAAAATTCATGTACCCAAACGTGTAATTACCGGTCTATTTGGATTTGGCAATTCTGGATATTTTTCTTTCAGAACTGCGATTCTCTTAGGACATTTTAAAAATCTCTTTTTCATTTCAGAAATTAACTGGTCATTTTTATAATATGCTCGTTCAAAAATTAACAAAATATGGGAAAATCAAGAAAATTAGCAAATTATTTTGAGTTAAGAATTCGTAAACATTTTTTTTTAAATCTAAGATTTTAAAATGTAATACTAGTTTTCTTATAAGATTATCTACCTTTATCAAAAAAAAAAAATGTCTATAAGAAAATCAAATTAAATTTCTATGAGCGCGTTTGAAATTCAAAATTTTACAACATTGGATATTCACTCGATTTCTCATGTAGAGATTTTATTATATTTTGTTGTGATTCAAAAACGAATAACTGTAGATACATGAAAATTTCACTGAACGTTTATTTTATCGATTCTTATACTTCATAAAATTTTAAAAATATTTTGACTCTTTTTGAGCTGTTTACGGACATTTTCAGTTTTTAAAGTTTTATCTGTTGGGCCAAAAAGTGTAAAAATTTAATATTAAAAATACATACGCACAATTTTTTTTTATAAGCATTTAATGATCGAATTTTGACAAAATGTATCAAATTTAAAATTGAATAATTATTTTGTGGTTAAAAATGTATAAAATGTTCAACTTTTATACCTAAGGATTGAAAATGTAAAACAAGATTCCACGTAAGTATTTAATTCTGTTACCAAAAAGTACATAAGCACAGTTTATTTTTATAGTCATTTTAAGTTCTACTTTAGACGAAATTACATAAAAAAAACTAGAATAACTATTTTAGTTATTTTGTTGTGATTGTATAATATTATTCGTGGGTACTTGAAACTTGTAAAGTTCACTATTATATATGTATGGAGTATGGTCTATGGACTATGATAGTATCAGGGTTTGTTGTTGATGTATTTTGCGTAATTGCGTTATAAGTACCTAATGGATATTGTAATATGATTAATTTGGAATTTATTATAGGTACCTATTATAGGTCAAATTTTTTTAATACGATAGATAAATATTTAATATGTCTTATACCTAAATAGACTGACATACCGTTTCAGCTCAGAATCGTTTTTCTTATACAATGATATTATATCATTGAATTCAAATTTAATACCACCCATATTATACAGTGACCCACTTGGCCACTTGTAACCTACTGTACAGCAGAGCACCTTTTTTTCATCACAGTTACTTTTCTTACAATATCATAAATTTGAATTCTTTATTAGGTACGTGGCTAAGGTAATAATGGTAAATGGGTAAATAGTATTCGATTATTGACATTAATATATGCAACGAAAAAATGCAATATTTTGTGGTGCTCTTTTCGTAGTGGTATAAACTCGAAATTTTAACCATAGATTCCCTACAATGGTATCTCATCCAAAGTATGAACAATGAACATATTAGTTGGACATAATTAATTGATTACAGTTACTTTGCTTAAGAAATTTGAATACTTAATTAGGGGGCTAGGTAAGTAAAAATGGTATTTGATAATTATAAAAATATGTAATTAACTTATACTAAAGGTACCTACCTAAATATTAGGTATATTAATATCGATTATTGAATACCATTTAACAATTTCCATTATTACGTTAGCCATTGCACCTACCTAATAAAGAATTCAAATTTATGATATTGTAAAAAAAGTAACGGTGATGCAAAAAATGTAACTTAATTAATTACGATTATAATAATAAATTAAAATAATAATATTGATTTTTATGATCGTATGTTAAAATAAAGATAATGAACTATGTTTGCCAACAATTTTGTCTGTTCTTATATTTTTTTTTTTTTTTGAGGGTGTCATTAGATTACCGATTTAACTATTGAAGTGTATCAAAAGGAAGTTATAAGAAAAAATTGTTTAGCGCTTGCAAATTAAACCTATATCAATTATTTCAATTAAAAGTATTAATGCATATTTTACTAATTTTTAGAGGACCATAGTTAATAAACTATGGAGCCTGCAAAATTGATGAATTTAGTATCAAAAATGTTCAGAAAAAAAAGCTTTACTTATAAAATTCAGTTAAAAAATATAGTGGTTGCCATTTGAAAAAAAAAGTTGGTTTTGCTATTGATACACCTGCGTGCTTGAAAATTTTGAAATTGCTTTAAAAAAATTGCCTGTTAAAAATAAAGAAACACGTCTTTTTTTGTTTTAACAAAATTAAATATCGTCGTTCCATAATCGTTCAAAAACCCCTCGTACAATGTACGGTATACAAAAAAATATTAAAAGATTCCAACCCAAAATTATATTCACTTAGTTTATTTCTGTGGGAATTATCTAAGTACTTATATCATACATTCATACATTCATACAAATTTTTACTATAGCTACATATCAACTAAATAATAATAGGTACATTTTTCAATTATAAGCAGCATAAACAGAAATACCAACATTTGTATCCATTCCAATATTTAATATATCCAATTATATTTCCAATCCTTGGTCTGAAAAATTAAAGGAAAATATTGGTCTTTCGAAAATATCCTTATAGACCTAATTTACTATTTACGAATTATGAAAAAAAATATTGAGTCCGGAATTTACACAAATGCAAAATATACTCATGTCGTAATTTACGAATATTATGTATAAAATACACCTGTCCACAATTTACATAAAAATTAAAAAATTGACTTAATTATACTACCTAACAATCTATTTAAACGTTATAATATGTACCTTAGCGGTTTGTTGTATTTTCCGACGATGTATGAATAACCAAATAAGTAAGTATATATCAAACTTATGTCGTCTCATTTCCACCTGTTTTCAATAATATACCTAAGTATGTATCTAATACCTATACATTTCAGGGGCACCAGTAAACGAAAAAAAATTACTCCTATTAAAAGTTTGTATTTTTTTTTTTTCATATTATCATACGATAATTATAGGATATTGTATGCATTATACTACACTTATAGCTGCTATTTACCACATTCTGCGACACTTGTGTTTTTGATGTGTGATAATACTACCTAATTAACGTGTTTACGGATATAGTTCTAATAGAAACTATAATAACATAAAATAGTATAACCCGTGGTGATCAGCCACATTAGGTAGTCGGTTTTGACTTTTGACTTTCCATGAATAAAAAGAAAATGCAGTTTTCGAACGCGCTATTTTGTTGAATACGTAAAAAAAAAAAAACGGTATCGAAATGTATTCTAAACGTATAGTTATATCAATTATAGTGATTGGTTGTTTGGCTCACGTAAGTTTTTTCCCGTTTTATAATTATTTATATGAGTTTCGATACCAATTTTCGTTTGGTAAAACAATATATAATTATCTTTATTCTATGTATCATATATATGTATTATATTATATATATATATATTATATGAACGGTGGGGTGACTTTATTTGAAATTAGCCAAAATATTTAAATTTTCAAAATGTAGGAAAATATTTAGTTTTAATACACAAAATAGCAGAAGTTGAAAAAATGAATGCACGTATGCCGTTAAGGTACCTATATTCCTATTTGACAATATAATATGATAACTGGAACATATAAATACTTAAGATAATGCAGGATAAGTAACTGCATACGTATCTGCTAATATATATTATTTGAATAATTAATAATTAGTAATTTCAACTCGTATTTGTTAAAAAAAAAATTAAAAGTAATCTTATTGAATTAATGAAGCAAAAGTATACCATAATAATATATTATACTAATCTAATAGTTAATTATTTAGTTATAAGTACCTATTAAAATAGTCAGTACGGCTAATATAGTTTATATTGACAAAACCATCGTTTTTGCTATATAGTTCATAACTTGTCCGAATGCAGTGGATGATAAAAAACAAAATTCCAGAAGCCCAACTAAACCTCCGGTGAAAGGTGCCAAACAAGCGAATAAACCTACTAGTCCTGGAGCTGCAACACCGCGTGCACTACCACCAAAAAAACCGGTAATTTCTATCGAACATTTTTTTAAAAAATATATTTATGGTCAGCACACATAACATATCCCAATAAAACAATGTGTCTGGAAGAACATAGGAAACCTATGTATCAATAGGATCTAGGTACAATGGCATTCATGGTGATATACGTGCCATGACAAACATTCAATAATATTATTGGGGCCTGGAATCTTATAGTATTCTTTACCGGTAAACTGGTAAAGTATAAAATATGTTGGTACCTCAGTCGTGGTATGAAGCTTATGATTGACCAAAACAATTTGAATTTTAAAAACCTTTTGTTATTGTTTAATCTTTTGAATCTGGCCCGAGACGAATTCATTGAAATTCGTATTATTTTATCATATTATGATGCTAGTATTTATAATCAAAGATAGTTCCCATATAGATTATTATAGTAATTTCATAAACCAAATTAAATTATTAGTGATATTATAAATTATAAAATTAATAATTATACAAAGAAATTATTTAAAACGATGTCCTAATAATATTTTTAGCCAAGGATCTCAAAAAAATCTATAATATATAAGAAATACCTTCCTTACCTACCTATAATAATACTTGAGTTAATATAATATAATTATATTTTTATAACTGATGTTGATTTTTTTATTTTAGGTTCCTAAAGGCCAAAAGCCAAATGCCAATAGTCCAACTAAGCCTGCAGGGCAGCCGATGGTAATTTCTATTTCATAGTAGTACCACGTTAACTTATATAGTTATAACTTATAACTAGGGTTCGAATTTGAAGGCAATAATATCAATAAAAAAAGCATTTAAAATGTAAAGAAAGGCAAAAAAGGCATTTCATTTATATAAAAAGGCAATTCATAAATAAACTACAAAATAAACTAGTTGGTAATAAAAAAAAAAAATTGACTACCATGTACTTTGATAAACTGTCTTCAGAAAAACGGTGACAGTTTTGCAAAACCAAAAAAATTGAAAAACCTATCTTAGAACCTAAACCAAAACCATAAAATGTAGAAAACCACTTTCAAAAACCTAAACCGTAATCGTTAAAGTTTGAAACGGTTTCGATCCCTGATTCTAAATGACTTTTATATAATCAACACGCCTTGAAATTATTTGATTTCCTTTAATAATACTATGGTTGGGCTTTAATTATTGTGTTATATTAGTTTAAAGTGAATATATTTAGATGCTTCTGTCTTCAAAAGAATTATTTTTAAGAAAAGAATATTACATATAGGTACCTAACTTACTGTACCCAAGTACAATAGCAACTATACGTGAGATAATAAAAAATATAAAAGGCCATTGGCTATACTGCAGAATAAATAAATTAAAATATATAAAACATAATATTAATATTATTAAAATTGTATTTTTTTTAATTCATTTCACTTAAAAGTACCTATTCAACAACAATAATTATAATAATTCAAATATTTCATAAATATAAGAAAATATTTTCAGTGAAATTATATAATTTTTAAATATTTGTTGATCATTGCTAAAGAGTGGCAAAAATAATGAGAAAATATTCCATTAATATTTAGTTATGAAGAAGTTCACATTATAATATTACAATCATACATTATAAAAACATTGTAAAAAAATATTTTGAAAACGTAAACTTCTTGGCCAAAAAATGTTTAAAAAATATTTTCTAATTATTTGAGCAACTTTTTAACAGCTATTAAAAAATATATTTTGACAACTACATCATTTTCCTGAAAATATTTTTTTTCATATCCAGAAAACATTATATAATGCTGTGTGGGGATGATCATTAACACTATACCTACAACGACTAGGTATGTTTTTTGGAAAATACATTTTTAAAAACATATGTAAAAACCAAAAAGTACCTACTCATCTTTATCTCATTCATGTACTTACAGATGGACAAAAAAAAGAAATCAGTGACTTATTACTGCCAATTGCCATCTTATAATACTACATTATATACTTTAAGCACACCTCATATTAATATTGATTTATGATTCACGTTTTTTGTTTTTCGATTATAAAAAAAATAATAAAGGAACCACCTGCAGCCGTTAATAACCAAGAACAAGCCAAAAATACTGCAGATAATCCAGACGGTGCAGACGGAGGACCCGTGGAAGAAAAACCCGCCGGTCGTATCAGAAGAGTTTTAAGACGGTTCAACAATTTCAGAAGAAAAATGTGTCCGATTAGATTTGTTACCCGTTTAATTAAAAAAGGTTTTGGTTCAAACAAAAAGAAACCTACGGATGACGAGGAACAGGCAGTGGAACCCTGATAAATAATACATAAGAAACAGTCGTGTAATATTTTTTACTGACCACACCAGCTAATGTGTTAAGATTGTTTAATAAAATAATACCTAATACCTAGTTAATATTATGCGTGTTGTGATATCTTTAAAAATTTAAATCTGTTACTCGAGTCCGAAATCAGGTAGATACTTACTAATTATACGTACTTACCCTTTATAAGTATTACACAATATAGCTAGTAGTAATACACGCATATTAATAGCTGCAATTAGTAGGTATACGTCATAACATTATTATCATCAAGATACTGGGAAAATTAATCTACTGTAAATCCTAATTGTATGTGTCTATAGTTATCTAGAGTCACGCGGCAAGCCTACATTCTTTGATATGTTGGTCATAAATCATAATCAAGATACGTGTTTACAAAAAACCTATATTGACACTTTTCAATTTTTTAACTGCTAAAAAGTAAATATTAAATTGGAACAAATAAATGCTTAAAATATTACATTATGATAGTATATTTTGAAACGGATCTTTTTAACGTATAGCCACAATAAACTCACAAGTATCTATATTATTTGTCCAAATTTAATAAGTCTTAACACGTCTTAGGTTAAAAAAATAATAAAAATAAATTTTATTAAATCAAAGAAGCAAAATTGTAGCATGATATACTAATATATTATAATTAATCCAGTGCTCGAATTGGAGGGGGGGTGCGTAAAGGGTCCGTCCCCCTCCTCTACTATTTTTCTTTTTTCATGCGTACTGGAGACTGGGGGACAGTACAACCTATGCCCAAAATAATTTTTATTAAAATTTGGAGTGGATCTAAATTGTTGCCAAAGATATGCAAAACCTAATGAATTTTACATTTTTTAATATAAAAATATTTTTCATCACGACTGGTGTCAACTTTGTAGGCCATGAAAGAAAAAAATACTTTAGCTGCTAGTTTGGCGTAATTTACCGTTAAAAAGGGTGCCCAAAACATTTCCAAAAAAGTTTCAACAATCTTTTTTTTAAGTTTAGAAACACAAGTTTGGTAGGTTTGGTATCACAAATGTATTGATTATCTATGTCTGTAGACATTTTAACTGTCATTATATCTACTGTAAAATATGGTTCTTCAATTTATTCATAATTTATAATAATTATTATACAATTATTGTATATACTAATTTATTTTTTTAACAAAAAAGACCTGTCACGACCCATTTTTATAGGTTACGCTACCCAAGATTTGGTAGCGAAAACCCCCCCTTGGTCCCCAATGGTCTGCATTGAGTAATTTGGCACTTGGAACGCAGATTATACATTTCTGGATTGAGTTCCTTTACTTAATAATTCCCAATTCGAGCACTGTATATAAAAAACTGCAGCAAAACCTCCTGCAAATGCTGAAGCCACACAACGGCATGGTCATAAACGTCTTAAAAAAGCTGTCGAAAAAATATAAAATAATATAGGTATTCATGGTCAGTGGTCTGTATACTTCACAATGATACAATGTGTTTGGAAGGGCATATAGTGCGAGAGATACGATCTAGGACTCAATAAAATCTATGGGTATACAATGCTACAAAATATCGGAGTTCAAGGGACTGAAAGTCATGACAAACGTTCAATATAATCAATAGCAGAAGTAAGTGGATCCCTGGAGTGGTGCCACATTTGAGATTCCCTTGGATTGTGTCATATTCAGTGGTGAGCGTATTTCGAACACTAAGCAAAGGATTTAAACAATAACCCATAGGTACGGCCATACCCACAACCTAACCTACAACTACATATTATATAATTTGAAGCTGTATGGTAATTTAGAATTTTCGTCAAGGACATCGTCAATAATTTATCATACAAAAAAATAAAAATATTATTATTTATAATTTATAATTAATTATACATTGGTCCATACAGATTTTGAAATGTCTATGGCTAACTATTTAATTGTAAACGTCGTTCACCACTCAAATGGATTTATATTGATATAAAGTGGATATATCAAAAATGTACTTAAAAAGAATCATATTATGAATATTAAATTACTTACTAAATTCAAATGTGATAATATTAAAATCAATCATAAATGACCATTGGATATCATACCTATGGACCGACTGGGAAACGTTTGGAAAATACATTTAGGCTAGGTTCACATGAAGAGCGTTAAACGCGCGTTAGCCAAACGCGCGTTTACAATAATGAATGCAGCTGTATTTTAACGCGCGTTTACAGCTTTCCGACGCGTTGTAAGGCGTTAACTCACGTCGTCATTCATCCTGTGTAAATTTTCTAAACGCGCGTTAGCCAAACGCGCGTTTAATGCTCTCATGTGAACTAGGCCTTAAAACAAAATACATTCAAAATAATAAGATAAGTTGGTAGGCTCATAATTTTTTTTTCGTTTGTGCTGTTACAGAAGGAAAAAAACGAAATCATTGACTCACAGCTGTTTTATAATATTTTAAATGATGAAGTACATTAGGAGGTACCTTCCTATCAATTTTATTGATATGGTCACCAAGTTGAAAAACCATCCCGTAATAACGAGTCGCACAATTAAATGACTACAAGCTGTGCTGCGTTCGCAATGGTTGCTACCAAGGACTAAGGTATTAGATTTAAATCATATTACCCTGGTGGCTCTAAATAATAAGTTGCCAACCTCCAGGATTAGAAACACTGTTATATACCTAGAAGATATAACTACTTTTAGATATATTATAGGTACATATTAAATGAAAAAAATAAAATGTTTAATTAAGTACAATAAGTTTTATTTAACTCATACAATTAATAAGTAAATACTTATCAGGCACATCACATTCAATACTGGCGGTTGTATTAAACATTAAAAATTGAATAAAATTAATTTGATAAATAAAATAATAATATTTCTAATACAACAGTGCAATAAAATACTAAGAAAATAGTATGTTAACAAACTAAAAAAAAAAAATAATAACATAATATGTACCTGCAATATTAATAACTAAATTATTATTATTAATAACTATGTGGTAAATTGTTGTTTGTGTAATATTTAATAAAACCCATTAATTAAATATTTTTTAAATAAATAACAAAAAAAAGTATAATAATATATTTATGTATAAATCTAGGTACCTAATAAATATGATTACCTATATTAAAATAGGGTATGCGGTTAAAATTTGAAAATTCTAGTATTGCACAAATTAAAAGACTTATTGTATCATCTACAATGGTAAAACTTTAAAATAAATAAATATAATAATACATAATATTTAAAATAAACATTTTAGGTGTATAAAACAAACAAAAATTTGCTAGAAAAAAAAAAGAATGATTGTAACCATAACACTACACAGAGGAAACAATAAATTCAGAATAATACTATAAGTAATATTCATAAACATTTTTCAAACCAACAATACTTTCTCCTACACAATACTGTCAATAATAATAACTTTGTTACATTTAAGGTTTTGATTGACATTAACATTCTATATAAACGTATGTAATAATATTATGTATATATATGACATACGATATACCTAATAAAATTAAGTACTAAATAATGTTTAATAAAGAAATTGACAATGATCTAATAATACTATATAAATACACATTATAGTTATGTTATTATTAAAATGGCTGAATACAAAATCTTTCAAGAATTGGAAAAAAAAATACAAATAAAAGAAATGAACAGGCCACAACCTTGGTTTCTTATTATTACACAATAATATACACACACAACAAACGTAAATATTTAAATGAGCTTTTTCAACGCATCACTGATGTGGTTGGCACACAACTTAAACGCTTCGTTCTTTAAGCACTGTATAAATATAATGCATTATAATATAATGTTATGTAAATATGGTCATAATATATAAATACAATTCATTGTAACTTTATAATATAAAACTACTACAATCTACAACAGTATCATACAAGTTACGTGCAACCAACATGATGTAATATACACATTTAATATATTTTATTAGTATTATTACAATATTAAGTTTGAAATTCAATGAACTGTTAAGTGTTAATATTTTTAGGCACCAAAAAAAAAAATATACACATATTGAAAATAGAGTATATCACAGTAATTATTCAATTCATTTTACTGGATTAATAGCAATATTATACACAAATATATACCTATAATATATAATAATAAATGGCAATATCGACAAAACTTTTATGCGCACAGTTTCGTTGTAATATAATGATATTAATATTAATAAAATAGTTCTAATAACTATTAATTGTAAGTACTAGCAATTCGTAAATGCAGTTAAAAAAAATAATAAAAAAAATACTGTTTGTAATAATACTAACGCAAAACATGGCGAGTATGGTTTTACACATTTATTCGCATTTAAATACTTTCTTGAAATCGACGGAAATTGAATAAAATTATCACAATGATGCAGAGTAAAAAAATTATACCCCAAAATATAATTTTTTTTTTTTGGAATGAATTGTTAGTTAAATGGAATGTATTTCATTACAATCATAGTAGTTTTGATATAGTACTCTTAAGATGCATTAATATACTAATATCATATCTTTAAGTTATTGACTAGTCCTATGAGTAATAAACGATTATCTTAAACTAATGTTCACATTTGGTTAACATAAGTGTTAAGTGTTAAGAAATATCGTTTGAATATTAAAAAAAAAAGAAAAGATTTTTGATTAAAAATAATAAACTACACATATCAAATAATTAAAAAAAATTCTAAAACACATTTTTAAAAAGTGGTTTAGAAAAGAAACAACTTGAGTAAGATTAAAACCGACATTTCTAACAAAGTGAAATAGTAATATTAAAATATTAACAGAAATTAATCACTCACTATGTTATTTAATACCAACATAAATCACTATGAAAACAAATAAAACTTGAATAGAAAATTGTAAATATTTGGTAACACTCTTTTCCTTTGAACATAAATATAAATTAGTCACTTAAGTTAACAACCAAAGACGATCATGTGTTAAAATATAAATTGTCAGCATTAAACATTGTTTATTGCAAGACGTACAACAAACAATATTACAATGATACATTACATTTATAATTATAAAGTGATCAAATTATTGCATACATTTATACTATCAAGTATAATACTTTTACATTGAGCTCCAACTTTGTATAATATTACTAATGAATTTAAATTCAAATGATCATTTATATATAATATATAAATATACAAACACACACATATATATATATACATATGTATGTATGTGTATGAAATACAAGTGTAGAGTTGATTAATATCTCTGTTGGAATTCGTGGTGCCATCTGTTATAGTCAATATGGAATATGACAATCGATCCAGTAGACAGTCCGGCCAATAAAAATCTATAAGAAAAAATGTTAATTTTTTTATTTCAATGACTAAGAAAGTATGCAACATTATAGTTACTTTTGATCATGTGTGAGTCCCAATGATCGTACACTGCTATCGCAAGCCGGAAAAGCGTAGAGTAATGATAAATTAAATGTTCTCCACACTTCAACAATTCCTTTATCACCTCCAGTCATCAAGTACTCACCATCTCTGCTTAGCAACATACACTGCAAAATACAATACAACATTAAGCAAGAACACATTTTCTAATAATAATAAAAAATAACTGTAAGCATTTTACTTATGCATTTGACAATAATGTACAGTTTATGAGTATTTTACAAGTTTGACATACATTATAATTCTACTTTAGATACTTTTTTAATGTTTTTTTATTCTACTTTTAACACTTTTCAATTATAAACTGACGGAAATACGTAGTATCTGAATATCTTACAATACAATTTAAGAATACATTTATGATTAGATATAAATAAATACTAGACTAATCTCCAATATCAAATAAATTGCACAATAATTAATATAAATAACAAATGTATCATGTGTTATGTATCTAAAGTAAACCATTACTTGGATATTATCATTGTGTGTAGTATGTCTCAGTCTTTTTCCATTGATTGTAAATGCTGCAATGCTACCATGTTCATAGTTTACAACAATTATGCCTTCTCGAGACATGACAGCACACTCAGGGTTTTCAAAACCATTAGGAGGGTCTAGTGACCTAAGGAGATCACCAAACGTTGTGTGAACAAGAACCGGACCACCTAAAATGAAAAGGTTGTCTCTTATTAATATAAAAATATGTGATACAACAATATAATGCATGCTATACAAACCTGAAGAAGCAGATACGACCAATCCAAGTTCGGCAGAGATGGCCACTGAAGTGACCGGTTGTTCATGACCTGTTAATGTGGCTCTAGGAGTCGGATGATCCCCTTCCCCGACTATCGTCTGACTTCTCGCATTCCAATGCCACAATAGAATGGTACAATCGGATGATCCACTTGCAATGTAACAGTCTGAAGTAATGTTGCATTCACTGCGACTCAAGCATGTCACTACTCCATAATGGCCAAATACAATTTGAACAATTTTGGCTATAAATAGAAATAAACATGAGTGTAACATACAGTTATTGAAATTACAAAGCAAGCAATTATTACCAGTCTCTGTGGAAAAAACTCTGAAACTATTGTCCCAAAAACCACAAACGATCAAGAAACGACTGTCCACTGTCGTAACAAAACAATTCCACTTGATTTTCAATTTCTGACTAAAGTTGTCCCCCAGATGGCGTTTTAATGTCACATTCATATTGCTATTAGATTGAGCTAAAACAAACGCAACATTAAAATATCAGTTAATGTTTAGATGAAACGTTGTTGAAAACCGCAGCGGTTGTTGATCACACAAAACACAATAATGTACATTGTACACTTATTACACCCATAACACGTTTGGGCGCAATGTAATATCAATGTTAAATAGTTTAATCTTACTCAAAATTTGATCCATGACCAGAGGTAAGTTTACGTTTGGCTGCTGAGGGCTTTCGGCGTAACTGGGAGATTGAATAGTCACTGAAAGAACACAAATCGTATACCAATAGATTTTACGAGACTACGAGTAATCAAACGAGAGTTTGTTGATAAATCGTGTTAATTATTACTATTATACGAACCGGAATAATTAGTGTTCCATCGGTTTATTGCAAACTGCATGTTGGTAGTTACGGTTACGACCGCTGGCATAGGTAGCTGAGGGAATGTGTTCGCCGATATGTGGCAAATCGGCGAATTGGACGGGAACTTCATGGTCATGCACACATCGTCAGGAATGCTTGTGAACATCATCGGCGACTAAAATACAAGTATATGGTTTACGATCACGAAGAGTCGAGAATGGTACAAGATCACGGAAAGTTTGAATGAGAAATGGGGTGGTGGCGGGGGGGGGAGTTCCAACTGAACCGTACAAAAAACACATCAGACGAAAAATATTTGATAAGACAATATATTATTTTAAACGTGAACGTCACTCATTTCTTCTTATAAACAGAGCGATGTGGACGTGAACAAAATTCATATTTTTAGAGAACTTGAATGTTTCACAGGCCGTTCAAATAAAATTTTTTTTTTTTCTAATGAATTATACATTTGTAAATAATAATAAAAATTTAAAAATAAATTATCTTTAGACATTCATTTTTAATTTAATGAGCGCTTTTATTTTTTCGACGAACGTGAACGAGTTCAGTATATTCAATTGAACTTTCTAATCACCGAATTCTCAGATACTATAATATCTGACGAGACTACAATAATATAATTCGCTGCGATGATGTGCTTACGATGTGCATAGCCGAACTTCGGGGCAGGTGCGGTTCCATCAGCAGTTGTGAAGGCGTCTGACCGAAACAACGTATCTGATTTTCGATGGCTTCCCTCATTATCGGATCGGTTATAGTGTCCATGTCGACGCTTCCTTCGTACGTCAAGTAGTAGAACACGTTGGACGCCCTTATGGCTTCCGGTCCTGCGGAGAACACAAAAACGGGGTTTATAGAAATCGGTCAAAATAACCTATACGTTCCGCGCATAGCACCCATTTATAATATTATATTATTATAATAGGTATCAGGTATGTAGTACGTTAAGTACTTTTTAAGTACTAAGTAGAACATAACGCGTATATTACATAATAATATATTATATATTATAGGAAAACAAGAAACCGTACCTCTCTGCTTGTATCCGAATATCAAGTCGATCCACTGGTGTAGTTGACACGATACGAATTCGGATTCCAAAGCCTGCAAAACGATACAACGTTAAACCATCAAATTATTTCGAAACATTTATTATAATCGCGTCTACACCAATCTATAGCAACAGAGGTATTATAGATACGCACCATTCTGTTGATCCTGATGAACTCTTCGGGCGAAGTAGCCCACGGCGGCAACTCGACGTTATCCACCGAGGTACCGTCTTCTTGATGTCCTAACTTGTACTCGTTGTCGTTGGACAACATTTCGGGCAGGAAAAACAATTCAGGAATTAATTCCTACGGAAAAAAACGTAATTAAGTATTTAATATATAAGTATATAGATATACTTTCAATATGACACGTCGAGACAGTTATCATTGTAAATATATTTATAAACTATAGTATATGATACCTTGACGTCTGAAGTGTCTCGTTGGCAGTTCTTCCAAGACAGCGCTATCGAAGAAAACAATCGGTTGGGATGGTCGAATTTGCCACCTTGTAGAGCTAAAAACATCGTGGTGAACGGTTCCTATAAAAATCGATAAAAAAATGGGTTTTAATGACAAATTCTATGCAAAAATTAAAAAATTGAACCCACGATCCTGATCAGCCAATTGAGTACAAAAGCCGCAGTCGAGTAATGGGTACCGTAATGGAATGGCGGAATGCTTTCGTTTTCCCAAGAGCCGTACCGCTCCTCAAAGTAGGCTTTGCGGCTGGGATTCAACGCTCCGATGGGCTAAAGAAGAATAATATCATATAATATTTAAAACAATGTTTTTTAGATTAATTTTTCTCTCAGTCGAATGAACTCGAGTAATCCAAAATGTATACATATTACTGTTACACGAGAGCACGTGGCATATACATATTATAAACACGTACTTTTGATAGATCGCGGTAGTTGGATGGGAGACCGAGGTCCATTTCAGTCGATTCATAATTGGTGAGAACCCACGGAAAAACTGGATATTGGTTCAAATCGTTGTAAGTTCGTCCTGTAATTCAAATAAATAATCACTATAGGTCGTTTTTATGGGCAGATAAACCTACAATAAAGCAATATTATTTTTCCAATTTTATGCGAGCACAGATTCTTACAAAAACAAAGAAGATAAGAGAACTAAAACTCTCTTGAAAAGATATAGGTAGGTAGTACATGGGGCGGCGATTCATATATTTTTATATATTTATAATGCCAGAGTCGTCGCAGATCAAAATACCCTGGATTACTATAGTAAATATGGCATAATATTACGATTTCTGAGCTTACAACTATTACAGAAGGCACACACACAATTACGTAGATGATTATTATTAAAGTGCAGTTTGTTCAGGAAATGAACAGTGGCGGCTGTTGGTGGTTGTGGTGGCGCTCGGAGAGGGTATATTTCGAACGCGGCGACAAACACGTGACGTTTACACTAATTGGCGCTGTCAGTGATTTGGAGGACCTAAACGGAGACGGGACGTTGAACGATCGCACCGCGTGGCGAGGAAACCGCACCGGCACGGCGACACGATTCAACCGTCACCGTCAATATCCTATATTATACTCGGGCGACGACGTTGGCACGGCTCGTCTACGGTCTCCTCGTCTAAGCGTAAATATACACCACATAATATAATATTATATCCGTATGCATGGAAAAAAAATTGTTATCAAAATAAAATGTGAACCTATAACGCACGCATTACGCACAGACGCGTCCGTAACAATAATAATGTTTTTTTATTTTTTCAAAAATACACCGTGTCCGGTGAAGTGTGACACCGTAAAATGTCATTATAATATAATACACGCGCTTAGGTCGTATATATAGACATACACATTATAACCTATGTCCTGTTTTGTAAGGGCGTGTGCATCATATGTCGCATAATATTATAATGCCTACTGACTGTACTGTCATATACATAAATACATTATACATAATAAATAATAATAATATATCATACTAACCGGCTATGGTGTTTAGGAACATTAGATACTCAAAGTTGGATATCTCGCGGCGCTGCCACTTTTGAGTCATGTTCGAGTTTCTCATCAATTGCCTGGGAGACATCATGGACGCCCGTCTGAAAAATTGCAATCGTGATGTATTTTTATATCATATCGCGACAGGTGTAGTAGCATAGCCGTCCCAAGGGAGGGGCAAATGGGGCAAGTGCCCAAGGGCGTCTAAAGTATTATGAATTTAGGGGGCGTACTAGAAATGGATGATAAAAAGAAAAATTTGGTGTTCTGATTTTAGGTATTATTTTTTTGTTTATACTGTAATATCAAAGATGAGTATCTATCAAATTGTATACTATTAAGTAGGTATACAATTATGTAAATAATGTGTTAAATCTTAATGCGACTTAACTTCAATAATAATATATTGAATATTCATAAAAACAAATAAAAATATTAATACTTATAATTTATAAGATTATTAAGATTACAATAGTAATTTATTTAAGCACATGAAATATATTTTAAATATGTATATACATCATTACAATAATTAAGTAATATACTGTATACTATATTGTAATATACTTATAAACTAAACTAATTCATATCTTTGGTACCTAGTAGTACCTTTTTTTATTTTTGTGTCTGTCATCACGTTTTAGGACAGTAAAAGTGCTTGGATTTTCTTCAACAGTATCTTTTCTGATAGGAAAGTGAATCTAGTTGGTACTTTGGGGGTGGGAGGGGGGTCAAAATTTCCCAGTAGTTTTCACAAGCACCGGGAAAAACAACATAAAAATTAAGGAAAAACGGGAATTTTTACGCAAAATCTGTTTTCCAAAAAATCGATTTTGATTTTTGGTGTAACTCTAAAAGAAATGAACGTATATACAAGAAATTTTCACTGGTTGTTTATATTTACATTTTGTATACACGATAACATTTTCAAAATATTTTGATTAATTTTGAACTGTTTAGGGACATTTTCATTTTCCATTTTTTTTAGTTTTTTTTTTTAAATATCAATAAAATTGTATTTGTTGGTTAAAAAAGCTTGAAAATTAAATAGAGGGCTATTAGTATATTGTTTCAAAGGCAAATGAAAAATATTAAAAATCCTTAGTCACAATTATTTTTATAAGCATTTAATATTCAAAAATTGACAAAATATGAAAAAATCACGAAAATTAGCAAATTATTTTGAGTTAAGAATTTGTAAAAATTTTTCTTTTTAAATCTAAGATTTGAAAATGTAATACAAGATTCCTTATAAGATTATCTACCTTTATCAAAAAAAAAAATGTCTATAAGAAAGTCAAATTAAATTTTTATGAGCGTTCGAAATCCATAATATTTAAGTATAAACGAACAATTTCAAAATGTTTTAACTTAATGGATTTTTTTAAATCAACTGAGAAAAGCTAAGTTATTTCAATTGTAAATTAAACTATTTAAGTTCATAAGTTGATTAGAAAATAAACTAACTAGTTAAGTTAAAAAGTTAAAAAAAAATTAACTTTTTAACTGAACTTTAACTTTTCAACTAGTTAATGCCCACCTTTGAATTTTATAATCACTTATATTCACTTGTGCAATTTACAATGTTGATTGTTATACTACACTGTTATTACACACGCAGAAACGCAGAATGTATGATTTATAATGAAATCTAGGTACTAATTTGTGAAAATAGTTATATATATTTTCTTTCTGTAATGTACGAGTGTTCCCAGAATAATGAAATCGGTGTTCAAATATAAACAAAATAAATATGATCCCAATAATAATATTTAAAAAAATAAGTAGGAACCTTTAATTAATAAGTATTAAACATATTTAAGGTATGTGGTTAATTATAAGCTAAATATGCGAAGTCGAGATTTTTTGGTGGGAGGGTGAGGGGCGTCAAATATTGTTGCCCTAGGGCGTTATTGGTGGTTAGAGCGGCACTGTGTAGTAGGTAGGTATAGCGTGTTCTGCTTAGATACATTTTTTAAAATCTAAATGTAGATAATATATCTTAACAAAAAAATTATCTAGATGTAGATAGATTATGTACTCAATGAAACAATTTAATATATCTAGATAGAAATTAAATATTTTTTTTTGTATCTTAAATCGTCAAAAAACATAGTTTTGTAACATATATTTTTAGGCATTTAGGCAATATCAATATTAATATTAGGTTAGTTTAAATCACTATAATAACAGCGTATTAATACATATTAAATAATTTTAAAAATGCAAATTTGCAGTCCAGATGATTATAATTTCTATCTTAGGTTACAGTTGGATACTTATAAACCAATTTTGTAATTTATCTAGTTAAGATAAATATATGATTTAGTTACCTATAGGTTAGGTTAGATAAATGTATCTAATCAAATTACGCACAACACTGTAAATAGGTACCTATATACGTATTATAATAAATTCCAGTATTAATGTAATCAAGAATAATGTAACAAGGAAATACGCTTTTGTAGCATATTAAAAATTATTAATTAATAATAAACGAGGTGGATAAATAGACAATAAGTAACAATTTATTTTAATAATATATCATTGATGGTAACACAATGACTCTCCATAAGGACAGAGTAAATAACGATAAAATATTTATATTATGTGAAATGTGGAGGAACATAATTTTCATTTCCTTGTTCAGACAGGAAATTATAATATATAATAACGTCGTTTGAACTCGTTTCTTAGAAAAAATCTAATTTCAGCTTCGAGTATATTAAATACTTAAAATAGTTTCCATTAACACTTTTTTCCCTATTTAAAAACGGATAACTTGTTTCCCAGAGAAGGATCCTATCCACACCAACACTCAGACGTGGCTGAAAATATCTGGTGATGGAAATCATATTAATATGTCCTACACTCAAATTATTATCTCGTATTATTATTTGGATTGTGAAAATTGAAGGTTGAATGATAGTCGCAAAATAATTATGACTTGACTGCACTATTTATAATAAATCAATATAAATTAAAGTAGAATTACGACCACTTACCTAGTTTGTGGTAAACCGTACTTGATACCAACTCCAACTCTGGGCAATGCTTTGATGACTCTTTTAACTGTATTCTGGTCAGGAAACGAAAACATCACGGATGCTAAAATTTTATGTAACAAAAAAAAATATTGAATGTAAATAGGTATGTCAAATTTAATAGCCTAGAGGCAGGTAAAAGGTACAAAATATTTAACTAGGTACATATTATTGAATACCTATACTGTATAGTGTATAACATGTTTATTGTATCATTTATATACCTATATATAAGTTGTAAGTTATACATGTGTATAGTAGTAGTTTATTCTTGAAGAATAAATAAAAATAAAATAAAAAATAAATAAAATAGTTAGTATTGTTTATCAAATTATTCATAATTTATAAATCATATATTTCATTAAATAATCAATGAAAATAATATAGTTAGGTACCAGTTTTAAAATATACAAATACACATTTTGAGTAAAAACTAAAATGAAAAACTTTTAAACCTATAACTTTGATTAAAATTTGAAGGAAAAAAGAACACATTTTATTATTAAAGTGAACCATATAAGTCTCTTACTCAAAATCATAAATGAAACTCTTAAAATAGTGGTGCTTATTTAAAAGTTTTGAAATACTTAGGTCTAATAAAATAAATATTTTAAAAGTTGTATGTACCTATATTGGTAAATTTACAAAGTTCAATACCTACAAACTTGTCCAGCAAACAAGTTTAACTCTTATATGTTACCCCTATATATTTAATAGCTGTATAATAAACAGTTTATATTGTATATTATGTAGTACAGTAAAACCTCTCTATAACGGAATCGCTTGAGACCAACACATTTTTCCGTTATAGGGAAACTAAGCTATACGGTACATAGCTTGTTCGGGAACGTTGTTATTTTTCGTTCTTGGGAGATTTCTGTTTCAAATGTTGTCCGTTATAAGAAGGTTTTACTGAATATATCATGTATATAAAAACTAATATACGCGTAAAGTAAAGGTATAATTAGTATAAACTGCATACAAAACATATTTTTAAGTGCAATTAATTAAAAACGAGTAAAACATGATATAATAAATTACAACACATGAAGAAAAATTAATCACGTCCCATTAAAAGTACTAATTTAAGATGCAATATATATATCATTTATATTATTATACAGAGAGGTTACGGGTTTCATATGTGACATGCATGTGTAAATAGTTTATTTTATTAATAGGCACATCAAAAATAACACGGCCATTGAGTGCACATAGTTGGATGAATAAATTACTTTTAAACATAGATTTATTCGGTTCGGTGATTATCGTTTGAATATAAAAATAATATTAGTTTAATATACTGACGACAGTAATGAGATTTATTGCCGCATAAATGTATTTTTTTGGATCAAAAGATTAAAAAAAAAAAAAAATTAAAATGAAAGCACAGCAATTATAGCAGTAGGTAGATAAAAGGGAACATAATAATTTATTGTTATTGACATAATGGTGATGATAATATTATAAACGCGTATTCCATTCAAAATGCAATATTATTATGATTAAAATAGAATAAGAAAAAAATATAGGTATCATAAACGAATAATGTGAAAACACAACAACAGTTTCACCAATACATCACGACATCACGTCATGTGATAATATAATATAATATACGTTTAAATATAGGGTGGGCAACAGTGATTCTGTGCTGACCATATGACCAACACTGGACCGAAGGGGTGGCGAACATCCAGTATAGTGTTCCAAAACATGTGTATGCACTTTATATGTATACCTTTATATAATACATATCTATATATATTATGTTTAATATGATTTAGTTAAATACGTTATATGCAGTGGACCAAATCCTTTTAGCAGATTGAAAAGAACACGGTCTGCCGACGTATGCCGCATAAGGAGAAGGAGAACAAGAAAAATAAGAAGAGTGATGCAAAGTTTAGGACACTGCAACAGTGTACTAAATTATAGCTCGCGTATAGGTGATCTAAACTCTATATATATGGATAGATAGATAGTCCTTGTCCATTTGGCGGTGATATAGAGTTGTTTTAATGCAGGCGAGGGGTGACGTGTACATATAATTCGTTTTCTGAGCGACCCTTTCCGTCCGGACTGAAGTGTTGTATACATACTAACAGCGGCGGCGGCGAGGTGGTAAAAACCCCTGTTTGTATGTATGTTTATATATGTATTTGTATATATACGCACTGCACGAGTGTCGGGACTCGTGAGTAGAGGGTGGTGGCAAATGAGTTTGCCGGCCGTCCTTTAAAATCGAATTAACATTGATCCGGCGGTACCAGCGGCGCCCTTAACAAAACACACCGCTCGTATATAGTGTAGCCGCCGCCCCTGCAGCCGACGAGAAGGGTCGAAGATAATTTCTCCAATCCGTACGACCCCTAAGCACTTCCGGCCTATTCAAAGCGAACGTTTCCTGTTTAAAAACAAACCCCAAAACGCCACACACTCGTAACAATAAATCAGACAGCGCATACACATACATATATATATATAGGTAGAGTATATGGAGGTAAGTACCTAGGTATATATTCCAGACGTGTATATATATAGGTACGATTAGAACACGCACGTGGTAAAAAAACGAATTAGTTTGGGTAATTTTAAAAATCGTACACGTTTACGGCCGTTTTGCTCTTACATATAAGTACAATCGATTAAAAAAATACATAGGTTAATTTAATAAGACTGTATGTAGACGTAGGAACCAATAAGCTATCTTTTACGAGAGTGAAATCAATCAGAAATCATACCATCAGACTATCAGAGATAATATTATGACCGGTATACAAATAAGCTGCAGTCCATTAAGGGTAAATCAATATTGTGTTGAAGATCCATTTAGGCACATTGAAGGTTTTCTACATGACAATAATTGAAATCTGATAAGCAAATAAACTATAATAGTTCGCCAATATAGTGACCAGTAATTATTAATGAATAACTATTATACACTATGTATAGCGATGTATTATTATTTATTATCAATGTATAAGGCCTAAATTGTGTTGGAAAATTATAATTGGTTGTAACTTTAAAACACGGACAAAACTACTTTCTGAACTGTATTGATTTGGTAAAATTATTTTGTTTCAAAAGTATTTTCTCGAATACGTTTAAGTATGGAAAGGATTACGGTTCCAAAATATAATATACGATTCCATAAAAATATAATTCCAAAAGATTATGTTAAATATGTGTGTTCTATGAGCAGTTGATACCTCATAAAGTCATAAGTGCTAACTCGTGTTTCTACAGCCATCACACACATTATTATAATATAGGCTACAAAGACGAATTATCTATATATATGAAAGGCATAAAACCATTCACAGTGATCGATGACTGACTCTTTTTATTTGGTCGTCATAATATGCGACTCACATACATGTGGACCAGAAACAAACTGATAAAAATAATCGTTATACAAGGATTCAACAAATTTAAAACTTATTGTAACTGTATTCTGGAAGACTGATTATTTTATAATATTATCGCGTGAAGCCGTGAAACCAATAATGTAAAACGGGTTACACCCTGATGGTATATAGTGTATAATAGTGGTAAAATAATATAGTGTATGCTGACACAAATGTTTATATAGGTAGTCAACTTGTCAACTATCAACATATAAGTAGTACAACCTTTAAAAGTATAATCGAGTATCTTTTAAAATATATTTTTCACTTTTATACAACTTACAAACAGTCCATTTGGAAACTTCTTCAAAAACGCACACACTATTATTGTAATATATTGTGTAGTATTCATATATTATATTATACCACTATCGCCGTATAGTAATTTAACCCAATAGTCTTAAAAACCACGTATCTAGCGACGATTGAGTTATGGACCAAACGAAATATGACAGATGGACAAAAAAAATGTACCGCGTCAGTGTCGCGTCGCGGGGTATAATATAGAGTATAGACCCAATTATACACGCTATATATTATATACATTATACATATATACACAATATAGGTATACCATATATATATATATGGGCACGAGATGTTTGTGTTTTCGCGATGAAGACCAGCAAAGTGTCTTAATTATCTGCCGGCCGGATTTATTGCTCGAGCACATTTGGACCGATGTCATAAAATATATAATACACACGGGTCGTGACGTGATCAGCTGGAACTGCGGTTTGTATATAACGACCGGCCAAAAAACGACATTACAAGTGGTATTTAATAACACGCGTAGCTGGTAATGATAAAAAAAAATGGAAATGGAAATGAAAAAAAGGGCGCGCGCGCGCTCGTATATCTAACAATAATAATATAATGGCGTGATCGTGGTCGCAGTTGTTAGTACCTATATACGTACACGTAATAATGTATAATAGAAACAACGAAAAAAGCGATACTATATTATTATAGTGTTGGGATGAAATTCGGACCGGCCATGAGATTTCGAGAGCCGATTGTGTCCGGTTTGGAATCCGTTGCAGGCCGGCTTTGGACGACAGACAAAAGCCGCGCCGCCGCCGACGATGACGACGGTGCGGGAGAAGCTGAAAAAAAAAACTTAACAGTTACTACGACGCGACGACGAGTAGAGAAAAAAATATTACATTTATATATATTTTATTGTGTAAAAAAAAACAAAAAACAAAAAACAAAAAACAAAAACCTCAAGTGGAATGTCGTCGGGCGTATTATACAGAAACGCCGCGGCAGAGAACTGGTGGCGAGAGCTGATGATAATAGTAATAATATGAGAGAAAAAAATTGTCTCGTCGCGTATGTATATATTATATTATGTGCTCGGCTGCTGAAGTGACGTCCGTCGTACAACGTGTACACACACACACACACTCGGGGCGGGAATGGAATCCGGCAAATCAAATCGTTGTACATAATAATATTAAATAATCGTTTATTATAATATACTTAACTACATATTATTATTACAAACACAATTTATCGAATCAGATTATTCTGATATATAACAATAAATAATAATAAACGTATAATAGTGTGAATATTGAATAGTGTACCTATAGGTAGCATAAAGCGTAATCCGTACAATATGTGCGAATTTATAAACAATC